TGTCACACACACACTCGCTCTGTCACACACACACTCGCTCTGTCACACACTCGCACACATTCACTCGCTCCGTCACACACACACTCGCTCTGTCACACACACACTCGCTTTGTCACACACACACTCACTCGCTTTGTCACACACACACTCGCTCTGTCACACACTCGCACACATTCACTCGCTCCGTCACACACACACATTCACACGCTGTCACACACTCGCTCCGTCACACGCTCGCTCGCTCTATGCAGAACAGTGGCGGAGGTGGCAGGGGAGGGGGCGGTGCACAAACTCCACGCAGAAGAAAGTGGTGCCCGAGGCACAAATTGAGGCTCGGCCTCTGTCACTCAGGACCGCTGCGGCCGCTGTGTGGTCCCGGCGGTTTCCAGACGCGAATTGATGTGACGTAAATTGACGTGACGTGTAAGCGCTAAGATCAAGTTGGATTCCGCGCTCTGAATGGGCCGGAGTTTATGCTAAACTCGCCACCATCACCCCCCCCCATCTCTCACTCCCATCACCGCCGCCCCCACCCCACCACTCGTCTGATGCCGTCACCATCTTCAACGGGAGCCCAAGGGGGCGTTAACTCGTCGTCGGGCCGATCGCCGCCATCGTCAGTCAGGGTGGGGGTGCCCAGCGCCCGACCACCAACAAACCATCGCTCGGTCATCGCCTAGTTGGGAGTCGGAATATTTCTTTATACTCGCACCTGTGAACCTCCTTATCAGTGCCCCTACCTTATTACTTTTAGGTTTATTTTTTTTTGCCCGTATTGGAACGGCTGTATGCCGTATGGACCTGAAACGTCAATTTCCCTGTACAAGAATACGGATAAACCACATGGGTTCATAGGTATGGTATAGTGTAGCGTATAGTCGTGTATAGCGTAGTGTAAATCGCACCTGTCAACCCCGAATCAGTGCCTCCTATCTTATTGCAGACCAATTAAGACCTTATTGGTAACCCCGTGACCCTTATAAATCTCAACGTTCATCCTGCAAAGTCGCATCGCAAGGGAGAAACACAAATAGACAAATATTTCCCCGTGCCAAAATCCGGCTAAACCGTACGGGTTGAGGAGTATGTAAAATGCTTATTTTTTTATTTTCCTGGTTCTTTCGGTAAAGTCACGTAGAAGGGAAATAATAAAACAATAAAAATCAAACATATAATAAAATAAAATTCCCGCGACGTTTCGGCCACAACAAAAGTGGCCATCCTCAGGTGAAGAAACGGAACTGTCGGAAAGGCGGTGCTCCAATGAACACTGCTAGGCTTGGCAGCGTATTTTAAGCTGGGTGGGAGGAGCAGAGCGCCTAGACAAAGGAGTTTGCATATCAACAGAGGTCAGTGTTAATGCGGTTGGTGTTACCTTAGAGTCGCGGCATCTCTTCGGAAAGGTGAGAGGCTCGATCAGCCGAGCCTTCTTATCCCGCGAGTTTGTTGAAGGATCAAGGTTACGTGGAATCCCTCCCCGTAGAGGCGGTTAAATTTCGATTTAAAGCTTTCGTGACTGCAGGGATTCATCTTCTTGGTTCTTTCGGTAAAGTCACGTAGAAGGGAAATAATAAAGTAATAAAGATAAAACATTATAAAATAAAATTAGTTTTTCGTTAGAAACCTCGCTTGAATTCTGAAATGTCTAAAAAAAACTAAAGATAGAACCCAACCCAGTGGTTCCCGCTTTAATTAAATTTGACATCTTAACGCTCTATTAAACGACAAAACCTACCGAAGTTTAACACGTAGGCTTTTGTGACCAATAACATCCATAATACAGCTTTTTTTATGCACTTTTTATTAACTCTTGTCTGTTGTTGTATCGTCAAATCTTGTAACGCAATTTTAACCCACTTCCCAATGTGGTATCGACTGCTAACTTGGTATACTTATGTCATACTGATGACAATACTATATACTTCATCATTAGACCTCCTTTGCCAGTACCAAAATGTAATAATAGGGTTTTTCCCCTTTTTTCTGGCAACAAAACTGATACCTTTTTACAAGGATTCATGTCTGCATTAACCACAATACCTGCAGTCAAAATGCAAACAAAAAACATACTATGATAATGTGATGATGCATTGTCCTTGAAACTGATTGGTCCACACCAAGGGACGGCTTTCTTTAATACTATATTCTATCATAAAAAAAATATATATATATTTTTAAACATTATTTTTTGCATGTTATGTTTGGGCTTGGGTCTGATTGTCCACGCTCGACTGACGTTGGCTGTAAATCACCACGGGCCCCTTACGTTGTGGCAAGCTTCGGGGCAACTTCCTGGAGTCGTGGAGTTCTTCCATTACTAGTACGGTACATTTCATTAAAGCGTGTTTTTAAGAAAGTCTTTTTTTTAATATTACTTATTTGGGTTAGTACAGTAACGAATTGGCATGTTCTGTTTACAATTTCAGAACGCCGCTTCGCCGCTAATTACATCCAGCGTCATCCTGGCGATTCTGGCATATCGCCAGGATGGTGCTGGATGTAATTACCATTGAAACGTCTATTGCTCAAATTGTAAATGTTGTGGATATACTCTCCCAAACACACCGGTGTTGGTGTTTTGTTTACGTGACAAATCCCTGACTAATTATTGGCTGTGTCAGGTGGGGGGGAGGTTGCGACGCATTCTTACTTACGCGATCGAACCCAAAAACTTTTGTAATGAATGACATTGGTCACGAGAGCCTGCGTGTTAAACTGATGTTCTGTTTACGTCACTAACCTTACTAATTGGCTGTGTCGGCTCGTGGCTGGTTTAACGACACAACATTTCATATTCTTAGCTCTTTCGGTAAAGTCACGTTGAAGGGAAACAATAAAATAATAAAAAATATATATAAAACAATAAAAATTCTCACGACGTTTCGACCATAACGCAAACGGTCATCGTCAGGTGTGAAAAACACAACATTTGTATATTTATACGTGATCTAACCATACAAAAAAACCTGTTTTGTGAACCACCGCAGTCTTATGTTTTGAACTGTTTCTGAATGACACCAGGCACCAAACGTGTTTTATGGGGCACTTAAAAGGACAAATGTCGGATTTTTTTAAATAATTTTTCTCCCCTGTTGTCCGTGTCCCTAACAGCTACCTGTGTACCAAATGTCAGCTTTCTACCTTGTCGGGAAATACCCTGGACGTTTGTGAGACGTACAGATTTTATGTATTTATATAGAAGATAGATTTTCTCCCCGCTGTTTGTGTCCTAAAAGCTACCCGTCTACCAAATATCAGCTTTCTACCTTGTTGGGAAGTTCCCGAGAGAGGTACGTACAGATTAAGATCTTTACATATATACATTTGACACTGAAATCAAGCATAGCTACCCGTCTTTGTCACAACAACAACCACAAACAACCGCCATTCGCCACTAAGTGGCGGTGACGTCACGGCGACGCTTGCGCCAGGCCACGTGCACGTTGAGACCACGTGGAAGTGTCGAACGCCCGCCGGCAGGAGGTCACGGGGCAGACCCAGGTGCCGCGGGTCGACTGACTGAGATGACTGACATGACTGTGTCCCCTACCGTGCCAACTTTGTCGCTCGTACGCACGAACATCCACGGTGCTGCCGATCGCTGAACTGGGTTAACAGCCTTTGGGGCAGTTCTGCCAGATCGGCCCCGCAATGTCGGAAGCGGCCGGATTAAAACGCGCAGCGCCGGATAATCGACGGGTCAACTGTACACCTTCGGTGGGCCTTGGCTGGCACAGAACAAAAATAGTTTAGTTTTGGTTATTGGCGCTTTCTGACCGGAACGGTGGGCTTATCCGGCACCGGCCGCATGAGGGTTGGCACGGTGCCAGCACCCCGGGCCAGACGGAAACCTGAGTTTCGAGGGCAAGTTACCGCGGTCGATAGCTTTATTATCTTCGCGCATTTTATATTTAGCGCCTTAGCCACGAGGCGCTTTGCAAAGAATTAACGGATGGTGTACAGCGGCTGCGTGCGTGCGTGCGAGTGCGAGCGGAGGCGCATCGCTTAGCGCTGCGCTACGAACCCGGCGACCCGAGTTCACTTCCCGCTCGTGGCCACCAACACCGGTAGTGACGATTATCTGAACCGGTCATGGGCGATCCCCTAGGTCGACGGGGCCTCAGCTTATTACCCCGGTGCGGCTTGTGGTAATCATCGCCACTGGGGAGACAAAGGTGTTGGCCACCCACCGCCTCGTGTGGCCACTGTGCCGGCCTGCGTAAAACAGCACTTGCCCCAACAGTCTATTCAGGCTATACGGGGGATCTTTGCCTTTTGAGAATGTGAACGTAGCGGCGGGAGATGAGGTGGATGAAATACGTAGATGAGAGGCATCAGTGGAGGGGGGGGGGGCAAACCTGATTGTGATGATTGTGATGATTGTGATGATGGCGGTGGTGGTGGTAATGGTCGTGATGGTGATGATGATGGCGGTGGCGGTGGTGACGGTGGTGGTGGTGGTGTTGGTCGTAATGGCCGTGGTGATGGTTGTGATGGTGATGATGATGGCTATAATGGCGATGGCAATGGTCGTGGTGATGGTCGTGATGGTGATGATGGCGGTGGCGGTGGTGACGGTGGTGGTGGTGGTGTTGGTCGTAATGGTCGTGGTGATGGTTGTGATGGTGATGATGATGGCTATAATGGCTATGGCGATGGCCGTAATGGTAATGGTCGTGGTGATGGTCGTGATGGTGATGATGATGGCTATGATGATGGTGATGATGGTAGTGGTGACGGTGGTGGTGATGATGGCGATGATAATAATGAGGAATGGTGATGATGATGATGATGGCGGCGATTGTGGCGATGATAGCTGCTCACTTCGTTGAGCTTCTATCATTCTGAAAAAAAAATAGATGCACAGCAGCTCAGTGGGGTCTTACCTGGTCAAAATAAAAAATAGTTTAGTTTTTAGTTGATTAGCCTTAGGCGCTCTCCCACTTCTTAACCTGAATCTGTCCCTGCTCTCCCGCCCGCCGCGTGTCTCCTCGCCACAGGCAAAGGCGCCGGAGAACTACGTGGGCTTTGCCAATCTTCCCAACCAGGTGTACCGCAAATCGGTGAAGCGCGGCTTCGAGTTCACCCTCATGGTGGTCGGTGAGTTTCCTCCCTGTGTGTGTGCGCGTGTGTGCGGACGTGCGTACGTAGCCAATCGTGCTAATCGGAGGTGGTGGGGGGGGGAGGAAAACAAACTATGGGTCTCTGCTGTGTGATGAGTCTATGGGTCTCTGCTGTGTGATGAGTCTATGGGTCTCTGTGTGTGATGAGTCTATGGGTCTCTGTGTGTGATGAGTCTATGGGTCTCTGCTGTGTGATGAGTCTATGGGTCTCTGCTGTGTGATGAGTCTATGGCTCTCTGCTGTGTGATGAGTCTATGGGTCTCTGCTGTGTGATGAGTCTATCGGTCTCTGTTGAGTCTATGGATCTCTGCTGTGTGATGAGTCTATGGGTCTATGCTGTGTGATGAGTCTATGGGTCTCTGCTGTGTGATGAGTCTATGGCTCTCTGCTGTGTGATGAGTCTATGCATCTCTGTGTGATGAGTCTATGGGTCTCTGCTGTGTGATAAGTCTATGGGTCTCTGCTGTGTGATGAGTCTATGGCTCTCTGCTGTGTGATGAGTCTATGGGTCTCTGCTGTGTGATGAGTCTATGGGTCTCTGCTGTGTGATGAGTCTATGGGTCTCTGCTGTGTGATGAGTCTATGGGTCTCTGCTGTGTGATGAGTCTATGGGTCTCTGTTGAGTCTATGGATCTCTGCTGTGTGATGAGTCTATGGGTCTCTGCTGTGTGATGAGTCTATGGGTCTCTGCTGTGTGATGAGTCTATGGGTTTCTGCTGTGTGATGAGTCTATGCATCTCTGTGTGATGAGTCTATGGGTCTCTGCTGTGTGATAAGTCTATGGGTCTCTGCTGTGTGATGAGTCTATGGCTCTCTGCTGTGTGATGAATCTATAGGTCTCTGCTGTGTGATGAGTCTATGGGTCTCTGCTGTGTGCTGAGTCTATGGGTCTCTGCTGTGTGGGTAGTCTATGGGTCTCTGCTGTGTGATGAGTCTATGGGTCTCTGTGTGATGAGTCTATGGGTCTCTGCTGTGTGATGAGTCTATGGGTCTCTGCTGTGTGATGAGTCTATGGGTCTCTGCTGTGTGATGAGTCTATGGGTCTCTGCTGTGTGAGTAGTCTGTGGGTCTCTGCTGTGTGAGTTTATGGGTCTCTGTGTGAGTCTATCTATATACAGTATATAAAAGGGAAATTTGTGAATGTGAGTCTGTTCGAAATGTTTAGCATACTTCCCGACATGCAACAAACTTGAAATTTGGCATGTGGGTAGTTTCCAGACTGTACACAATGCAAAAAGTATAAAAATAGACTTTTGTATTTTTTGGGGGGGTGAGGGGGGGTGGGAAATTACCATGAAGTGTGTGGCATCAACCCGCATACAGGACTGGCGAGAATCGATATCTGCTGAGCGTTTGCGGTATCAATTAAACGGTAATAGGCCGATTTTAAAGAAATCTACAACCTCCGATTCCTTTTGCGCCATTTAAAGAATCGAATCTTGGCGCGCGAGCGTAAGTTTTAAAAAAAAATTTCCCCCACCGCGCGTTGGGTTTCATTTTCATTTGTATACGTTGTGTTTTTTAAAGTTTTGAGAAGTTTTTAAATAGATTTCCCCCCCCCCCGGGCCAACACCCCGGGCACTTCCCGCTAGTGTATGTATATACAGCGGTGCCACGGAGATGGGACGGACTCGATGAGTTCCAGAATTAGTCGTCATCGGGTACAGAAGAGCTAAATTTACGGGAGGGAGGAGACACACAACTGCAGATACATGCACGGACACGGATACGACAGGGGATACAGAGAGAGAGAGAGAGAGAAACGTGGGAGCACGCTATAAATCAAGCAGGTTTTAGCAAGATTTGGAAACTCTATAACGCAACACAGACGGTCGGTCAAAACAATTAACTCAAGGTCAGGTTGATTACGTTATTTCAAAGATTGCTAAATTGTAAGTTTAGTGTGCAATTTAAAATCTAAAAAATATATATATATACAGACCGCATACACATATATAGACATCCAAGCAGAACGAGTTAGCTCCAAATTGAAGTTTCGTTCCAGAAGGCCGTTCCAACACCGAATTAATTTCGCCCAATAAGAATTAATGTAAGTGACATTAATTGGTTCCAGACACAAGAAATCTCTCATTATGAAGCATTTTCACACGACGTTTACAGTAATTACACGCATACAATCTTTAAAAACAACGAGAAACACACTCAATAATACATGAATAAATATATGAAATAAATGAACATTGAACTTCACTTTACCTCGCCATTGGAACATCTTCTTTGGTTCTTTCGGTAAAGTCACGTAGAATGAGAATAAAATAATAAATTGATAAAATAAAATAACACAATGAAATTCTCACGACGTTTCGGCCACAACACAAGCGGCCTTCATCAGGTGAAGGGGGCGAGACTGTCTGGTAGGACAGCGCTGGAGTGAAAGAGCCACGTTCAGATACGGCCTTTAAGCTGTGTGAGAGGAACAAAGCGCCCTCAAATTTCAGCAAAAAATTTTGTTCCTCTCACACAGCTTAAAGGCCGTATCTGAACGTGGCTCTTTCACTCCAGCGCTGTCCTACCAGACAGTCTCGCCCCCTTCACCTGATGAAGGCCGCTTGTGTTGTGGCCGAAACGTCGTGAGAATATTATTGTGTTATTTTATTTGATCAATTTCTTATTTTATTATCATTCTACGTGACTTTCCCGAAAGAACCAAAGAAGATGAATCATTGCAGTCACGGAAGCTTTAAATCGAAATTTAACATTGGAACATCCTTTGCCAGTAGCAAAATATGATAATTGGTTTGGTTTTTTTTTACCCTTTTATCTGGCAACAAAACTGGCACCTTATTCACTTGACCTGTTGTAAGGAGGGTTGATGGCTTGAGTGTAAGGAGGTGAGGAGGAGGAGGTGGAGGGAGGAGGTGGTGGTGGTGGTGGTGTTACTGTTTGGAAGGGGGAGTCCCCTTGGGCAAGCCTCATGCACGCTGCTGACCACACGCACGTCTCAGCCGTGCACGGGTCCTGCCAAGTCGCGATTGCCCCGTTTAAACCTCCGAGTTTCGCTCGGTTTCCGGGGGGCAAAAAAAAATCGTTCGGAAATATCGTCCGAGCGGCGATTTGTTCGAGTTCCCGGTGTGTGTTCCATCTCCGAGGTTCTGCTGCCTGTTGGAATTATTTCGCACCGCACATAGCCAGCGGTGCCAATCGTGGGAGGTGCGAGTTTTCGCACTCACACCCAGTCCGTGCGCGATCCACCAACCCCCGTGTGGGACCGCAGGCGAGTCTGGCCTGGGGAAATCGACGCTCATCAACTCCCTGTTCCTGACGGAGTTCTACTCCAGCGAGCACCCGGGGCCATCCCAGCGTATCAAGAAGACCGTGCAGGTAACGGCACCGTCCCTACGGTCACCATCCCGGTTGGTGCGTGCGTGTGTGTGTGTGTGTACGCGTTGGTGCGTGCGTGTGTGTGTGTGTGTACGCGTTGGTGCGTGTGTGTGTGTGCATTGTGTGTGTACGCGTTGGTGCGTGTGTGTGTGTATGTACGCGTTGGTGCGTGTGTGTGTGTACGTGTTGGTGTGTGTGTGTACGCGTTGGTGCGTGTGTGTGTGCGTGCGTGTGTGCGTACGCGTTGGTGCGTGCGTACATGTGCATGCGTGTGTGCGTGCGTGTGTGCGTACGCGTTGGTGTGTGCGTGTACACGTTGGTGTGTGCGTGTGTGCTCACTGTTTGTTGTACACGTTGGTGCTTGTGTGCAGGTGGAGCAGAGCAAGGCGTTGGTGAAGGAGGGCGGTGTCCACCTCACCCTCACCGTGGTGGACACGCCGGGCTTCGGCGATGCGGTGGACAACAGCAACTGGTGAGGGAGAGTCCCCCCCCCCCCCTCCTCACCCCTCCCCCCACCCCTCCCCCCCCCCCCCCATCCTCCTCATCACTGTGCCCCCCTCCCCACTGCTGCTGCTGCTGCTGTGTGTGAGCGTAGCTGGCAGCCCGTCATTGACTTCATCGACAGCAAGTTTGAGGACTTCCTAAACGGGGAGTCGCGCGTAAACCGGCGGCAGCTGCCGGACACTCGCGTGCATTGCTGCCTCTACTTCATCGCCCCCTCGGGGCACGGGTGAGTGGCCTGGGGGTGGTTGGTGGAGGGTGGTAGGAAGGGTGAGTGGCCGTGAGACGGTGCGGCGGTGGTGCGTGTGGGTGTGAGAGGGGTGTGAGAGGGGTGTGAGAGGGGTGTGAGGGGGGTGTGAGAGGGGTGTGAGAGGGGTGTGAGAGGGGTGTGGGAGGGGTGTGAGAGGGGTGTGGGAGGGGTGTGAGGGGGGTGTGAGAGGGGTGTGAGAGGGGTGTGGGAGGGGTGTGAGAGGGGTGTGAGAGGGGTGTGAGAGGGGTGTGAGAGGGGTGTGAGAGGGGTGTGAGAGGGGTGTGAGGGGGGTGTGAGAGGGGTGTGAGAGGGGTGTGAGAGGGGTGTGGGAGGGGTGTGAGAGGGGTGTGAGAGGGGTGTGGGAGGGGTGTGAGAGGGGTGTGAGAGGGGTGTGGGAGGGGTGTGAGAGGGGTGTGAGAGGGGGTGTGAGAGGGGTGTGAGAGGGGTGTGAGAGGGGTGTGAGGGGGGTGTGAGAGGGGTGTGAGAGGGGGGTGAGAGGGGTGTGAGAGGGGTGTGAGAGGGGGTGTGAGAGGGGTGTGAGGGGGTGTGAGAGGGGTGTGAGAGGGGGGTGAGTGGGGTGTGAGAGGGGTGTGAGAGGGGTGTGAGAGGGGTGTGGAGAGGGGTGTGAGAGGGGTGTGAGAGGGGTGTGGGAGGGGTGTGAGAGGGGTGTGAGAGGGGGTGTGAGAGAGGTGTGTGAGGGGTGTGAGAGGGGTGTGAGAGGGGTGTGAGGGGTGTGGGAGGGGTGTGAGAGGGGTGTGAGAGGGGTGTGAGAGGGGGTGTGAGAGGGGTGTGGGAGGGGTGTGGAGGGGGTGTGAGAGGGGTGTGTGAGGGGTGTGAGAGGGGGTGTGAGAGGGGGTGTGTGAGGGGTGTGAGGGGGGTGTGAGGGGGGTGTGAGAGGGGTGTGAGAGGGGTGTGAGAGGGGTGTGAGAGGGGGGTGTGAGAGGGGTGTGAGGGGGGTGTGAGGGGTGTGGGAGGGGTGTGAGAGGGGTGTGAGAGGGGTGTGGGAGGGTGTGGGAGGGGTGTGAGAGGGGTGTGAGAGGGGTGTGAGAGGGTGTGGGAGGGGTGTGAGAGGGGTGTGAGAGGGGTGTGTGAGGGGGGTGTGAGAGGGGTGTTGAGAGAGTGTGAGAGGGGTGTGAGGGGGGTGTGTGAGGGGTGTGAGGGGGTGTGAGAGGGGTGTGAGAGGGGGTGTGAGAGGGGGTGTGAGAGGGGTGTGAGAGGGGTGTGAGAGGGGGGTGTGAGAGGGGTGTGAGAGGGGGTGTGGGAGGGGTGTGGGAGGGGTGTGGGAGGGTGTGAGAGGGGTGTGAGAGGGGGTGTGAGAGGGGTGTGAGAGGGGTGTGAGAGGGGTGTGAGAGGGGGGGTGTGAGAGGGGTGTGAGAGGGGTGTGAGGGGGGTGTGAGAGGGGTGGTGAGAGGGGGGTGTGAGAGGGGTGTGAGAGGGGTGTGAGAGGGGTGTGGGGAGGGGTGTGGGAGGGGTGTGAGAGGGGGTGTGAGAGGGGTGTGGAGGGGGTGAGGGTGTGAGAGGGGTGTGAGGGGGGTGTGAGGGGGTTGTGAGAGGGGTGTGAGAGGGGGTGTGAGAGGGGTGTGAGAGGGGTGTGAGAGGGGTGTGAGAGGGGTGGGGAGGGGGTGTGGGAGGGGTGTGGAGGGGTGTGGGAGGGGTGTGGGAGGGGTGTGGAGAGGGGGTGTGAGAGGGGTGTGAGGGGGGTGTGAGAGGGGTGTGAGAGGGGTGTGAGAGGGGTGTGAGAGGGGTGTGAGAGGGGTGTGAGAGGGGTGTGAGAGGGGTGTGGAGGGGTGTGAGAGGGGTGTGAGAGGGGTGTGAGAGGGGTGTGAGAGGGGGTGTGAGAGGGTGTGAGAGGGGTGTGAGAGGGGTGTGAGAGGGGGGGTGAGAGGGGGTGGAGGAGGGGTGTGAGAGGGGTGGAGAGGGGTGGTGAGGGGTGTGAGAGGGGTGTGAGAGGGGTGTGAGAGGGGTGTGAGGGGGGTGGGGGGTGAGGGGGGTGTGCGAGGGGTGTGAGAGGGGTGTGGAGGGTGTGAGGAGGGGTGTGAGAGGGGTGTGAGGGGGGTGTGAGAGGGGTGTGAGAGGGGTGTGAGAGGGGTGTGAGAGGGGTGTGAGAGGGGTGTGAGGGGGGTGTGTGAGAGGGGTGTGAGAGGGGTGTGAGAGGGGTGTGTGGAGGGGTGTGAGAGGGGTGTGAGAGGGTGTGAGGGGTGTGAGGGGGGTGTGAGAGGGGTGTGAGAGGGGTGTGAGAGGGGTGTGAGAGGGGTGTGAGAGGGGTGTGAGAGGGTGTGAGAGGGGTGTGGAGGGGGGTGGGAGGGGTGTGAGGGGGTGTGAGAGGGGTGTGAGAGGGGTGTGAGGGGGTGTGAGAGGGGTGTGGGAGGGGTGTGAGAGGGGGTGTGAGAGGGGTGTGAGAGGGGTGTGAGGGGTGTGAGAGGGGTGTGAGAGGGGGGTGGAGGAGAGGGGGGTGTGAGAGGGGTGTGGAGGGGGGTGAGAGGGGTGTGAGAGGGGTGTGAGAGGGGTGTGGAGGGGTGTGAGAGGGGTGTGGGAGGGGTGTGGGAGGGGTGGAGGGGTTGGGAGGGGTGTGGGAGGGGGTGTGAGAGGGGGTGTGAGGGGGTGTGGGAGGGGTGTGAGAGGGGTGTGAGAGGGGTGTGAGGGGTGTGAGAGGGGTGTGAGAGGGGTGTGGGAGGGGTGTGGAGGGGGGTGTGGAGGGGTGTGAGAGGGGTGTGAGAGGTGTGAGGGGGGTGTGAGGGGTGTGAGAGGGGTGTGAGAGGGGTGTGAGAGGGGGGTGAGAGGGGTGTGAGAGGGGTGTGAGAGGGGGTGGGAGGGGGTGTGAGAGGGGTGTGAGAGGGGTGTGAGGGGGGTGTGAGAGGGGTGTGAGAGGGGTGGGAGGGTGTGAGGGGTGTGAGAGGGGTGTGAGAGGGTGTGAGAGGGGTGTGAGAGGGTGTGAGAGGGGTGTGAGGGGGTGTGAGAGGGGTGTGAGAGGGGTGTGAGAGGGGTGTGGGGGGGTGTGAGAGGGGTGTGAGAGGGGTGTGAGAGGGGTGTGGAGGGGTGTGGGAGGGGGGGGGGGGGGGTGTGAGAGGGTGTGAGGGGGGTGTGGGAGGGGTGTGAGGGGGGTGTGAGAGGGTGTGAGGGGGTGTGAGGGGGGTGTGAGAGGGGTGTGAGGGGGGTTGTGGGAGGGGTGGAGGGGGGTGTGAGAGGGGTGTGAGGGGGGTGTGGGAGGGTGTGGGAGGGGCTGTGAGAGGGGGGGTGTGAGAGGGGTGGGGTGGGGTGTGAGAGGGGTGTGAGGGGGGTGTGAGAGGGGTGTGAGAGGGGGTGAGAGGGGGTGTGAGAGGGTGTGAGGGGTGTGGGAGGGGTGTGAGAGGGGTGTGAGAGGGGTGTGAGAGGGTGTGAGAGGGGTGTGAGAGGGGTGTGCGAGGGTGTGTGTGAGAGGGGTGTGAGAGGGGTGTGAGAGGGGTGTGAGAGGGGTGTGAGAGGGGTGTGAGAGGGGTGTGAGAGGGGTGTGGAGGGGTGTGAGAGGGGTGTGAGAGGGGTGTGAGCGGGGTGTGAGGGGGTGTGAGAGGGGTGTGAGAGGGGTGTGAGAGGGGGTGTGAGAGGGGGGTGAGGGGTGTGAGAGGGGTGTGAGAGGGGTGTGAGAGGGGTGTGAGAGGGGTGTGAGAGGGGTGTGGGAGGGGTGTGAGAGGGGGGTGTGAGAGGGGTGTGAGAGGGGTGTGGGAGGGGTGTGAGGAGGGGTGAGAGGGGTGTGAGAGGGGTTGTGAGAGGGGTGTGAGAGGGGGGTGTGAGAGGGGTGTGAGAGGGGTGTGAGAGGGGTGTGAGAGGGGTGTGAGAGGGGTGTGGGAAGGGGTGTGAGAGGGTGTGAGAGGGGTGTGGGAGGGGTGTGAGAGGGGTGTGAGAGGGGTGTGAGAGGGGGGTGAGAGGGGTGTGAGAGGTGTGAGAGGGGTGTGAGAGGGGTGTGAGAGGGGTGTGAGGGGTGTGAGAGGGGTGTGAGAGGGGTGTGAGAGGTGTGAGAGGGGTGTGGGAGGGGTGTGAGGGGTGTGAGAGGGGTGTGTGAGGGGTGTGAGAGGGGGGTGTGAGAGGGGTGTGAGAGGGGTGTGAGAGGGGTGTGAGAGGGGGGTGAGAGGGTGTGGGAGGGTGTGGGAGGGGTGTTGAGAGGGGTGTGAGAGGGGTGTGTGAGGGTGTGAGAGGGGGGTGAGAGGTGTGAGAGGGGTGGAGAGGGGTGTGGGAGGGGTGTGAGAGGGGTGTGAGGGGGGTGTGAGGGGTGTGTGAGGGGTGTGAGAGGGGGGTGAGAGGGGTGTGAGAGGGGTGTGAGAGGGGTGTGAGAGGGGTGTGAGAGGGGTGTGAGAGGGGTGTGAGAGGGGTGTGAGAGGGGTGTGAGAGGGGTGTGAGGGGGGTGTGAGAGGGGTGTGAGGGGGGTGTGAGGGGGGTGTGAGAGGGGTGTGAGAGGGGTGTGTGAGGGGTGTGGGAGGGGTGTGAGAGGGGTGTGAGAGGGGTGTGAGAGGGGTGTGTGAGGGGTGTGAGGGGGGTGTGAGAGGGGTGTGAGGGGGGTGTGAGAGGGGTGTGAGAGTGATTGTGTGGTTGTGTGTGTGATAGTGTGGCTGTGTGTAATAGTGTGGCTGTGTGTGTGAGGGTGTGATTGTGTGTGTATGTGATAGTGTGTGTGTGGGGAGCGGTCGTGTAGTGGCCAACACCCAGTGACGATTATCTGAACCGATTCTGGACCTCCCCTAGGTCGACTCGGCCTCAAACGAATACCTGGTGCTGTGTGTAAATTTCGCCACTGGGGAGACAAAGGCGGTCGTGCATGGTACTGGCCATCCACCCCCTCGTGTGCCGTTTTGGCCTTGATAGGTGCTCGCTAACAGCACTTGCCCCAACAGTCTATTACAAGCTATATGGGGGATCTTTTTTATAGTGTGTGTGAGTGTGTGGGTGGAACATCGTCACCGGTTAGAAATATTCAAGCCGACCTGCCTACGATCCATCCTGGGTTTAACCAGACTGGATTGTGTGAGGAGCTCACAAATCCTTGAAAGATCTGGGCAAACTCCCATCGGTGAGCTCCTCCGGCAGGCAAGGCTGCGATGGCTGGGTCACGTCGCCCGCATGCCCGGCCACCGCGTGCCCAAACAGCTTTTGTTCGGCCACGGGCTAGAGAAGAGATGGAGTTGTGTGGCACAAGAGGACGTGGAGCTGAGTTGGACTTGCCAATAACTCGTACTGGCGGTGTCAAGAACGGCCTCTGTGGAGGAGGAGGAGGCTCGTGAGGGACGCTGCTGCTGAGCAGTTGGAGGCAGCCGCCCTCCAGCCACGCTCACAACAACGAGCGGAGCGCCGGGCGGATAAAACGCAGCGAGTTGGCACAGCAGTAGCCACAAAGTGGCGCGTCGGCCGGCCACCTCAGTCGGTCGACCCGTGGCGCCTTGCAGGGTCTGTGCCGTTGTGACCTCCTGCCAGCCGGTGTTCGACACTGCATGCTACGGCCCCGAAGTGCACATAGCCTGGCACATGCACCGTGGTGACGTCACCGCCACTTGGTGGCGAATGCCGGTTGTCGTTGTCGTTGTTGGTGGTGGTGGTGGCAGTGGGGGGAAACTTCGCCTTGCTTCTTGTGTGCGCACGTGCGTACTTAAAGTGCGTGCTTAACGTGCGTACCTAACGTGCGTACCTAACGTGCGTACCTAACGTGCGTACCTAACGTGCGTGGTGTGCATGGCGGCAATGCTCGCTGTGCCAGGCTAAAGCCTCTGGACATCGAGTTCATGAAGCGGCTGCACGAGAAGGTCAACATCATCCCCCTCATCTCCAAGGCCGACACGCTCACCCCGGACGAGTGCAAGAGCTTCAAGAAACAGGTGCCTTGAAAACGGCGTTCTTTGGGTCCTGTGACTAGTCTGTGGGTCTCTGCTGTGTGATGAGTCTATGGGTCTCTGCTGTGTGATGAGTCTGTGGGTCTCTGCTGTGTGATGAGTCTGTGGGTCTCTATGATGAGTCTATGGGTCTCTGCCGTGTGATGAGTCTGTGGGTCTCTGCTGTGTGATGAGTCTGTGGGTCTCTGCTGTGTGGTGAGTCTATGGGTCTCTGCTGTGTGATGAGTCTGTGGGTCTCTATGATGAGTCTATGGGTCTCTGCCGTGTGATGAGTCTGTGGGTCTCTGCCGTGTGATGAGTCTATGGGTCTCTGCTGTGTGATGAGTCTGTGGGTCTCTGCTGTGTGATGAGTCTGTGGGTCTCTGCTGTGTGATGAGTCTGTGGGTCTCTGCTGTGTGATGAGTCTGTGGGTCTCTGCTGTGTGATGAGTCTATGGGTCTCTGCTGTGTGATGAGTCTATGGGTCTCTGCTGTGTGATGAGTCTATGGGTCTCTGCTGTGTGATGAGTCTATGGGTCTCTGCTGTGTGATGAGTCTATGGGTCTCTGCTGTGTGATGAGTCTATGGGTCTCTGCTGTGTGATGAGTCTATGGGTCTCTGCTGTGTGATGAGTCTATGGGTCTCTGCTGTGTGATGAGTCTATAGGTCTCTGCTGTGTGATGAGTCTATGGCTCTCTGCTGTGCGATGAGTCTATGGGTCTCTGCCGTGTGTCATGCCATGTCGTCGTCCAGATAATGAAGGAAATCGCGGAAAACAAAATCAAGATCTACGACTTCCCCGACACGGAGGACGAGGAGGAGAACAAGATGGCCAAGAAGATCAAGGTTCGGGCCTCACGATGGCGGCGCTGTTGCCATCCACGCGTGTTTCATTTGCCGGCTGTCGCTGGCGACGTTTAATGTCACCCACGCTCTACACATACACACACACATACGTTGACTACACACCGCACCAGGTACTCGTTTGAGGCGAGTGCTGTTAGGGGGAGTAGCCACCTGTGAAGGCCGGCACTGTGGCACACGAGCGGGTGGGTGACCGGGATCACGCCCGACCGCCTTTGTCTCCCCAGCGGCGATGATTTTGCACAGTGCAGTAGGTGCTCGATTTGAGGCTGACTCGATCCTAGGGGGAGGCCCAGGACCTGTTCAGATTCGCTCGTGTTGGTGGCCGTGAGCGGGAATCGAAACCCGGTCGCCAGGTTTGTAGCACGCTAACTGCTGCGCCACCGCTCCCCACAAACTCACGGACTCGCACACAACAACAACAACAACCGCCATTCGCCACTAAGTGGTGGTGACGTCACCACGACGCTTGTGCCAGGCTATGTGCACCTTGAGGCCACACACACACATACTATCACACTCGCGCACACACCCGCACTATCACACTCGCACACACACCCACACTATCACACTCTCACTATCACACTCGCACACACTATCACACACACACCCACACTATCACACTCTCACTATCACACTCGCACACACTATCACACCCACACTATCACACAAACACACTATCACACAAACACACTATCACACTCACACACCCACACTATCACACAAACACACTATCACACTCTCACACACACCCACACTATCACACTCTCACACACACCCACACTATCACACTCACACACTATCACACTCTCACACACACCCACACTATCACACTCTCACACACACCCACACTATCACACTCACACACACCCATACTATCACACTCACACACACACACCTACACTATCACACTCACACACACTCACACTATCACACTCTCACTATCACACTCTCACACACTGTCACACTCACACACCCACACTCTCACTATCACACTCGCACACACACCCACACTATCACACTCTCACACACACCCACACTATCACACTCTCACTATCACACTCTCGCACACACTAACACTATCAAACTCTCACACACCCACACTATCACACACACACCCACACTATCACACACACACCAACACTATCACACTCTCACACACCCACACTATCACACTCTCACACACACTCTCACTATCACACTCTCACACACACCCACACTATCACACTCACACACACACCCACACTATCACACTCTCACACACACTCTCTCTATCACACTCTCACACACACCCACACTATCACACTCTCACACACACCCGCACTATCACACTCGCACACACACCCACACTATCACACTCTCACACACACTCTCTCTATCACACCCGCACACACACCCACACTATCACACTCTCACACACACCCGCACTATCACACTCTCACACACACAGATTATCCCGTATAGCCTCCCACAGTCACTTGGGACAAGTGGCTGTTAATAGCCAGTAGCACCGATGAAAACTGGCACTGTGGCGCACGAGGGGGTGGATGGCCAGCACCACGCACGCCCGGCCGCCTTTGTCTCTCCCCCAGTTGCGATGTTTACTACTGCAGACCACAGCACCAGGTAACTCATTTGAGGCCGAGTCGACCTAGGGGGAGGCCCAGGACTGGTTCAGATGACCGCTATCACGTGTGGCGTTGGTCGTGGGCGGGAATCTTAAGTCCGGCAGTAGCCGGGTTCGTAGCGCAGCTTGGCGCTAACCGGCACGCCCGCTACCGCCCCCCACGCCACCAAGGGTACTGACCCAGCGTGGTGAAGTATGGTCAAATAGCCTCCGCATCCCGCCCCCCCCCCCCCATCACCCCCCACGACCATCATGGTATGGTGATTGCGGTGGCTAGGAGATGTTTGATCTCTCGCCTGCTAAGTAGGAGATGGTGGGTTTGATCCCGACCCCTGACGATGCCTGCTGCTGTATATTTGGAGTCTGCGTCTCTCTCTCTCTCTCATGATCATCACGGTGGCTATGAGATGTTAACTACCTCGCCTGGTCTACAGGAAGTTCGTGGGTCCGATCCCATAACCCTGACGATGCCTACTGCTGTATATTTGGAGTCTGCGTCTCTGTCTCTCTCTCTCTCATCACCATCATGGTGGCTATGAGATGTCAACTACCTCGCCTGACACGCGGGAGGTCGTGGGTTCCATCCCGACCCTGACGATGCCTGCTGTTGTATATTTGAAGTCTGCGTCTCTCTCTCATCATCACCATCATCACGGTGGCTCGGAGATGTTAACTGCCTCGCCTGACACGCGGGAGGTCGTGGGTTCCATCCCGACCCTGACGATGCCTGCTGTTGTATATTTGGAGTCTGCGTCTCTCACTCATCATCACCATCATCACGGTGGCTCGGAGATGTTAACTACCTCGCCTGACACGCGGGAGGTCGTGGGTTCGATCCCGACCCTGACGATGCCTGCTGTTGTATATTTGGAGTCTGCGTCTCTCTCTCATCATCACCATCATCACGGTGGCTCGGAGATGTTAACTACCTCGCCTGACACGCGGGAGGTCGTGGGTTCGATCCCGACCCTGACGATGCCTGACTGTTGTATATTTGAAGTCTGCGTCTCTTTGTCTCTCTGTTATTATCATCACCACGGTGGCTATGAGATGTTAACTACCTCGCCTGACATGCGGGAGGTCGTGGGTTCAATCCTGACCCCTGCTGCTGTATATTTGGAGTCTGCGTCTCTGTCTCTCTCTCTCTCATCACCATCATGGTGGCTATGAGATGTTAACTACCTCGCCTGATATGCGGGAGGTCGTGGGTTCAATCCTGACCTCTAACGCCTGCTGCTGTATATTTGGAGTCTGCGTCTCTCTCTTTCTTATCATCATCATCATCACCACGGTGGCTAGGAGATGTTAACTGCCTCGCCTGACACGCGGGAGGTCGTGGGTTCGATCCCGACCCTGACGATGCCTGACCGTTCTGGGCTACGTGGTGGTGGCGGTGGGTGAATCTTTGTGTCTCTGCGTGCGCTAGGAGCGGATTCCCCTCGCGGTCGTGGGCAGCAACACGCTCATCGACGTCAATGGCAAGAAAGTTCGCGGGCGACAATATCCGTGGGGCGTGGCCGAGGGTAAGATCCCACCGCTCCACCTCACCCCCACTCCTCTCTCTCTCTCTCACTAAGACACGAAAGCTATAAACTATTTTTTTTACGCGCTTGTATTTAACTCCCTCTGTCTGTTGTCATCATCGTTGTATCCTCAAATCTTGTAACTCAATTTTATCACACTTCCCAATGTGGTTATCGACTGCAAACTTAGTATACTTACGTCATACCGATGACAATACTATATTCTATCATAAAAAAAATTAAAAAATATATCTTTTTTTTTTACATTCTTCTTTACATGTTATGTTTCGGCTTGGGTCTAATTGTCCACGGTCAACTCACGTTGGCTGTGATTGCCCACGGGTCCCCTTACGTTATGGCAAGCTTCGGGGCCACTTCCAGGAGGCGTGGAGTTATTTTTGTACTTTTTTAGTACATTTCATAAGAGCGTGTTTAAAAAAAAAAAATGTGTTTTTTTTTTAATATATATTATTTGTTTATTTGACCAGGGTAAGGCCCCCAACTGAGCTTCTTTGTAGTGTAGCTCTTTCTTATGAAGCGACTTGGACCATCGCAAATGGACAGCAGCTTAAAGCAGTGGCTGCTATCATCATCATCATCATCACGTGGAGATTCATAGCAGCGGCATATTCCTAAATGTGGAGGGGAAAAACTCCGACGACCCGGAGAAAAATCCACGTGACCGCAGAGAGACCCACAGAGAACCACAGAGACCCACAGAGACCCACAGAGAACCACACTTATTGAGACCCACAGAGACCCACAGAGACCCACACTTATTGAGACCCACACTTATTGAGACCCACAGAGACCCACAGAGACCCACAGAGACCCACAGAGACCCGCACTTATTGAGACCCACAGACCCACAGAGACCCACACTTATTGACACCCACAGACCCACAGAGACCCACACTTATTGACACCCACAGAGACCCACAGAGACCCACACTTATTCAGACCCACAGAGACCCACAGAGAACCACACTTATTGAGACCCACAGAGACCCACAGAGACCCACACTTATTGAGACCCACAGAGACCCACAGAGACCCACACTTATTGAGACCCACACTTATTGAGACCCACAGAGACCCACAGAGACCCACACTTATTGAGACCCACAGAGACCCACACTTATTGAGACCCACAGAGACCCACACTTATTGAGACCCATATTAAAGCTAAACTGTGTATTTAACCAGGTAAGGTATGAGACCCACAGAGACCCACAGAGACCCACACTTATTGAGACCCACAGAAACCCGCAGAGACCCGCAGAGACCCACACTTATTGAGACCCACAGAAACCCGCAGAGACCCGCAGAGACCCACAGAGACCCGCAGAGACCCGCAGAGACCCACAGAGACCCACAGAGCCCCACAGAGACCCACACAAACCCACACCCACAGAGACCCACAGAGACCCGCAGAGACCCACAGAGACCCGCAGAGACCCGCAGAGACCCACAGAGACCCACAGAGCCCCACAGAGACCCACACAAACCCACACCCACAGAGACCCACAGAGACCCACAGAGACCCACAGAGACCCACAGAGACCCACAGAGACCCACAGAGACCCACAGAGACCCACAGAGACCCACAGAGACCCACAGAGACCCACAGAGACCCACAGAGACCCACAGAGACCCACAGAGACCCACAGAGACCCACAGAGACCCACAGAGACCCACAGAGAACCACAGAGAACCACAGAGAACCACACCACGTAAGGTATGAGACCCACAAATATACAGCAGCAGGTGTCAGGGGGCGGGATCGAACCCACGGCCTCCTGCACACCGGGCGAGGTCGTTAACATCTCTTAGCCACCGTGACAGCTTCCCCTACCGCGTCCGTCAGAAATCTGCGGCGGCCGCCGCGTCAACCAACCCCCTGGGCGCTTGCTGGTCGAGTGAGGACACTGCGGATTTCTAGACGGGGGAGTGGGGAGGAGGAGGTGGGGGTGGGCGGGGTCGTTGCGTTATCGATTTTAATTTTTTTCCCGCTATCCTGACCCCGTCCGTACGAGGACATGCTGTGAGTAAAAGAGCTTCGTAGCTCATCAGATTCCTCCTCCTGCCGTTCAACTGCCATACTGCGCGCTTGCTCCACCCCCCCCCCCCCCCGCCATCTTACAACGAACCTTGCCATCAATAACTCGCCCACCCATCCACCCCCCCAATCACCTCGACGGCGGCGTTCCGCTCGTTTTGAAACGGCGGCAGTGCGGTGCCGGGGGTCCGGGGTCGGCGTTGGTTGCCGAACGGTGCCGCGATGGCGGAAAGACGTGTCCGCCGTGCCGTGCCGTGCCGTGCCGGATGAAGCTCGTGCGGGGCCTGCAGCCTATGTTGTTATAAAGGGGCCCTAAATTTAAACGACAACAACAATAACAAAAAAACCCCACGTGAATGTTAAAACACGTAAATGTTTAACTCGCGCAGTGAAGTGATTGTGATGTGGTTTTTTTTCTTCCATCCTCTATACGGCAAGTCGCTGACCCTGAACACCCGCTCGTTGGTAAAAGTCGAAGGCGATATAGTACTGTAGTAATAGAGCAAGTGCAGAATCGCCGGCGCGGGGAGACGCCACGCTGGTAGGAGGGGGCGCTGTGAGCGAGGTGGGTCTGCCATGTTTGGTCAAAGCCCCGCAATAGATTTGAGACTTAGTTTTTTTGTTGTGTGTGTGTGTGTGTGGGGAGGATGAGGAGAGGGGTGGTGGTGGTGGGAGGAGGAGAGGGGAGGATGATGATGATGATGGGAGGGCAGGAAAGGAGGATGAGGGAGGGAGGGAGGGATGATGAGGGAGGGTCGGAGGGGATGATATCATCAGAGAGAGGAGGAGGAAGAGGAGAAAGCGGCTGCTGCGAAGATTTAACTCGTGTGTGTGTATACTCGCGATGTAACGTGTGTGTGTGTATACTCGCGATGTAACGTGTGTGCTCGCGATGTAACGTGTGTGTGTGCTCGCGATGTCACTCGCGCGTGTGTCTGCGTGTGCTCGCGATGTAACGTGTGTGTGTGTGTGCTCGCGATGTCACTCGCGCGTGTGTCTGCGTGTGCTCGCGATGTAACGTGTGTGTGTGTGTGTGCTCGCGATGTAACGTGTGTGTGTGCTCGCGATGTAACGTGTTGGTGTGTGTGTGCTCGCGATGTAACGTGTGTGTGTGTGTGTGTGCTCGCGATGTAACGTGTGTGTGTGTGTGCTCGCGATGTAACGTGTGTGTGTGTGTGTGTGCTCGCGATGTAACGTGTGTGTGTGTGTGTGTGCTCGCGATGTAACGTGTGTGTGTGTGTGCTCGCGATGTAACGCTGTGTGTGCTCGCGATGTAACGTGTGTGTGTGTGTGTGCTCGCGATGTAACGTGTGTGTGTGTGTGCTCGCGATGTAACGTGTGTGTGTGTGCTCGCGATGTAACGTGTGTGTGTGTGTGTGCTCGCGATGTAACGTGTGTGTGTGTGTATGCTCGCGATGTAACGTGTGTGTGTGTGTGCTCGCGATGTAACGTGTGTGTGCTCGCGATGTAACGTGTGTGTGTGTGTGTGCTCGCGATGTAACGTGTGTGTGCTCGCGATGTAACACGTGTGTGTGTGTGCTCGCGATGTGACGTGTGTGTGTGTGTGTGCTCGCGATGTAACGTGTGTGTGCTCGCGATGTAACACGTGTGTGTGTGTGCTCGCGATGTGACGTGTGTGTGTGTGTGTGCTCGCGATGTAACGTGTGTGTGTGTGTGCTCGCGATGTAACGCGTGTGTGTGTGTGTGCTCACGATGTAACGTGTGTGTGTGTGTGTGCTCGCGATGTAACGCGTGTGTGTGTGTGTGTGTGCTCGCGATTTAACGTGTGTGTGTGTGTGCTCGCGATGTAACGTGTGTGTGTGCTCGCGATGTAACGTGTGTGTGTGTGTGCTCGCGATGTAACGTGTGTGTGTGCTCGCGATGTAACGTGTGTGTGTGTGCTCGCGATGTAACGTGTGTGTGTGTGTGCTCACGATGTAACGTGTGTGCGTGTGTGTGTGTGTGCTCGCAATGTAACGTGTGTGCGTGTGTGTGTGTGTGCTCGCGATGTAACGTGTGTGTGTGTGTGTGCTCGCGATGTAACGCGTGTGTGTGTGTGCTCGCGATGTAACGTGTGTGTGTGTGTGTGCGCTCACGATGTAACGTGTGTGTGTGTGCTCGCGATGTAATGTGTGTGTGTGCTCGCGATGTAACGTGTGTGTGTGTGCTCGCGATGTAACGTGTGTGTGTGTGTGCTCACGATGTAACGTGTGTGTGTGTGTTCGCGATGTAACGTGTGTGTGTGTGTTCGCGATGTAATGTGTGTGTGTGCTCACGATGTAACGTGTGCGTGTGTGTGCTCGCGATGTAACGTGTGTGTGTGTGTGCTCGCGATGTAACGTGTGTGTGTGTGTGCTCGCGATGTAACGTGTGTGTGTGTGCTCATGATGTAACGTGTGTGTGTGTGTGTGCTCGCGATGTAACACGTGTGTGCGTGTGCTCGCGATGTCAAGCGTGTGTGTGTGTGTTCGCGATGTAACGTGTGTGTGTGTGGTTCGCGATCTGTAACGTGTGTGTGTGTGTGCTCGCGATGTAAAAGTGTGTGTGTGTGTGCTCGCGATGTAACGTGTGTGTGTGTGTGCTCGCGATTGTAACGTAGTGCGTGTGTGTGCTCGCGATGTAACGTGGTGTGGTGTGTGTGTGTGCTCGCGATGTAACGTGTGTGTGTGCTCGCGATGTAACGTGTGTGTGTGTGTGCTCGCGCTGTAACGTGTGTGTGTGTGCTCGTGATGTAACTTGTGTGTGTGTGTGCTCGCGATGTAACGTGTGTGTGCTCGCGATGTAACGTGTGTGTGTGTGCTCACGATGTAACGTGTGTGCGTGTGTGTGTGTGTGCTCGCGATGTAACGTGTGTGTGTGTGTGTGCTCGCGATGTAACGTGTGTGTGTGTGTGTGCTCGCGATGTAACGTGTGTGTGTGTGTGTGTGTGCTCGCGATGTAACGTATGTGTGTGCTCGCGATGTAACGTGTGCGTGTGTGTGTGCTCGCGATGTAACGTGTGTGTGTGTGTGTGCTCGCGATGTAACGCGTGTGTGTGTGTGCTCGCGATGTAACGTGTGCGTGTGTGTGTGTGCTCGCGATGTAACGTGTGTGTGTGTGTGTGTGCTCGCGATGTAACGTGTGTGTGTGTGTGTGCTCGCGATGTAACGCGTGTGTGTGTGTGCTCGCGATGTAACGTGTGTGTGTGTGTGCTCGCGATGTAACGTGTGTGTGTGTGCTCGCGATGTAACGTGTGTGTGTGTGCTCGCGATGTAACGTGTGTGTGTGTGTGTGCTCGCGATGTAACGCGTGTGTGTGTGTGCTCGCGATGTAACGTGTGTGTGTGTGTGTGCGCTCACGATGTAACGTGTGTGTGTGTGTGCTCGCGATGTAACGTGTGTGTGTGCTCGCGATGTAACGTGTGTGTGTGTGCTCGCGATGTAACGTGTGTGTGTGCTCACGATGTAACGTGTGTGTGTGTGTGCTCGCGATGTAACGTGTGTGTGTGTGTGTGCTCGCGATGTAACGTGTGTGTGTGAGCTCGCGATGTAACGTGTGTGTGTGTGTGCTCGCGATGTAACGTGTGCGTGTGTGTGTGCTCGCGATGTAACGTGTGTGTGTGTGTGTGTGCTCGCGATGTAACGTGTGTGTGTGAGCTCGCGATGTAACGTGTGTGTGTGTGCTCATGATGTAACGTGTGTGTGTGTGTGTGCTCGCGATGTAACGCGTGTGTGTGTGTGCTCGCGATGTAACGTGTGCGTGTGTGTGTGTGCTCGCGATGTAACGTGTGTGTGTGTGTGGTGCTCGCGATGTAACGTGTGTGTGTGTGTGTGTGCTCGCGATGTAACGTGTGCGTGTGTGTGTGCTCGCGATGTAACGTGTGTGTGTGTGTGCTCGCGATGTAACGTGTGTGTGTACTCGCGATGTAACGTGTGTGTGTGTGTGCTCGCGATGTAACGTGTGTGTGTGTGTGCTCGCGATGTAACGTGTGTGTGTGTGTGTGTGTGCTCGCGATGTAACGTGTGTGTGTGTGTGCTCGCGATGTAACGTGTGTGTGTGTGTGCTCGCGATGTAATGTGTGTGTGTGTGCTCGCGATGTAACGTGTGTGTGTGTGTGTGCTCGCGATGTAACGTGTGTGTGTGTGCTCGCGATGTAACGTGTGTGTGTGTGCCCGCGATGTAACGTGTGTGTGTGTGCTCGCGATGTAACGTGTGTGTGTGTGCTCGCGATGTAACGTGTGTGTGTGTGCTCGCGATGTAACGTGCGCGTGTGTGCTCGCGATGTAACGTGTGTGTGTGTGTGTGTGCTCGTGATGTAACGTGTGTGTGTGTGTGCTCGCGATGTAACGTGTGTGTGTGTGTGCTCGCGATGTAACGTGTGTGTGTGTGCTCGCGATGTAACGTGTGTGTGTGCTCGCGATGTAACGTGTGTGTGTGTGTGTGCTCGTGATGTAACGTGTGTGTGTGTGTGCTCGCGATGTAACGTGTGTGTGTGTGTGTGCTCGCGATGTAACGTGTGTGTGTGTGCTCGCGATGTAACGCGTGTGTGTGTGTGTGTGTGCTCGCGATGTAACGCGTGTGTGTGTGTGTGTGTGCTCGCGATGTAACGCGCGTGTGTGTGTGCTCGCGATGTAACGTGTGTGTGTGTGTGCTCACGATGTAACGTGTGTGTGTGTGTGTGCTCGCGATGTAACGTGTGTGTGTGTGTGTGCTCGCGATATAACGTGTGTGTGTGTGCTCGCGATGTAACGTGTGTGTGTGCTCGCGATGTAACGTGTGTGTGTGTGTGTGCTCGTGATGTAACGTGTGTGTGTGTGCTCGTGATGTAACGTGTGTGTGTGTGCTCGCGATGTAACGTGTGCGTGTGTGTGTGCTCGCGATGTAACGCGTGTGTGTGTGTGTGTGCTCGCGATGTAACGCGCGTGTGTGTGTGCTCGCGATGTAACGTGTGTGTGTGTGCTCGCGATGTAACGCGTGCGTGTGTGTGCTCACGATGTAACGTGTGTGTGTGTGTGTGCTCACGATGTAACGTGTGTGTGCTCGCGATGTAACGTGTGTGTGTGTGTGTGTGCTCGCGATGTAACGTGTGTGTGTGTGTGCTCGCGATGTAACGTGTGTGTGTGTGCTCGCGATGTAACGTGTGTGTGTGCTCGCGATGTAACGTGTGTGTGTGTGTGCTCACGATGTAACATGTGTGTGTGTGTGCTCGCGATGTAACGTGTGTGTGTGTGTGCTCGCGATGTAACGTGTACGTGTGTGTGTGTATACTCGCGATGTAGCGTGTGTGTGTGTGTGCTCGCGATGTAACACGTGTGTGTGTGTGCTCACGATGTAGCGTGTGTGTGTGTGCTCGCGATGTAACATGTGTGCGTGTGTGTGTGCTCGCGATGTAACGTGTGTGTGTGTGTATATACTCGCGATGTAACGTGTGTGTGTGTGTGTGCTCGCGATGTAACGTGTGTGTGTGCACGCGATGTAACACGTGTGTGTGTGTGCTCGCGATGTAACGTGTGTGTGTGTGTGTGCTCGCGATGTAACGTGTGTGTGTGTGTGTGCTCGTGATGTAACGTGTGTGTGTGTGTGTGTGCTCGTGATGTAACGTGTGTGTGTGTGTGTGTGCTCGTGATGTAACGTGTGTGTGTGTGTGTGTGTGCTCGCGATGTAACGTGTGTGTGTGTGTGCTCGCGATGTAACGTGTGTGTGTGTGTGTGTGCTCGCGATGTAACGTGTGTGTGTGTGTGCTCGCGATGTAACGTGTGTGTGTGTGTGTGCTCGCGATGTAACGTGTGTGTGTGTGCTCGCGATGTAACGTGTGTGTGTGTGTGTGCTCGCGATGTAACGTGTGTGTGTGCTCGCGATGTAACGTGTGTGTGTGTGCTCGCGATGTAACGTGTGTGTGTGTGTGTGCTCGCGATGTAACGTGTGTGTGTGTGTGCTCGCGATGTAACGTGTGTGTGTGTGTGCTCGCGATGTAACGTGTGTGTGTGTGTGTGTACTCGCGATGTAACGTGTGTGTGTGTGTGTGTGCTCGCGATGTAACGTGTGTGTGTGTGTGCTCGCGATGTAACGTGTGTGTGTGTGCTCGCGATGTAACGTGTGTGTGTGTGTGCTCGCGATGTAACGTGTGTGTGCTCGCGATGTAACGTGTGTGTGTGTGCTCGCGATGTAACGTGTGTGTGTGCTCGCGATGTAACGTGTGTGTGTGTGTGTGCTCGCGATGTAACGTGTGTGTGTGTGTGTGCTCGTGATGTAACGTGTGTGCGTGTGTGTGCTCACGTGTCTCCTCCCCCCTCCGTGCTGTGCGTGGCCGGACACCAGCGGGCGTTATTGGTAAACACCACCCCCCCCTGCACCTCCCACACCTCCCTAACTTCTCTCTCCCAGCCTCCTTCCCCCTCCCATGCCCTCTCCCATGCCCTCTCCCATGCCCCCAACATGCCCCCAACATGCCCACACCGCTCTTTAACCGAACTGTTTATTGATTATTGTTTTCCGGGTGTAAGGCCGCTCCCACCCCCCCCCCTCCACACTGAACTGCTGTGCGGTAAGCGCTTCGTTCGGGAAGCAGTGACTGCTTGATATCATCATCGTCATCATCGTCATCATCGTCGTCACGTGGAGATGTATGGCCGCGGTCGAATACTCTCCACGTATACGGGCCCACACTCATCGAGACCCGTACTAAAACGAAACTTGTATATCTGACCAGGCAAGGCTCCCGGCTGAGCTTGGTAGTAAAAATAGTTCAGGGTCTCCACGAGCGTGGGTCTGTATACGTTTCGGAGTATTTAGCTGCTGCTATGAATGTTCACGTGACGATGACGACGATGATGATGATGATGGCAGGCACTAGGTTCGAGCTGCTATCCAATTGGTGACCCAGGTAGCTTCTGAACGAAGAGCTACCACACAGCCAGCTCAGTTGGGGGGCAGGGGGGGGCCCCTAACCCTGATAAAATAAAAAACACAATTGTTGAGCTCCGTCAGTGATTTGCGGCGAGTCGCGGCTACCCTCCTGTCCCGGCTGCGGTGCCGGGTGGGTGATCGGCGGAGGGAGACGTTGGCTCCGCGCGTGGTCTCGGGGGTTGGAGGAGCGGCGGTGTAGCGGTTGGCGTGCGACGGTGCGCCACAAACGCCAGCGTACGACCCCGACCGAGTTTGATTCCCCGCTCGCGGCCACCGCCACCGGCCAACGCCGGTGATGGTCGATTTATCCGAGCCGGTCCTGAACCGGCCGGGCCTTCCCTAGGCCGACTCGGCCTCTTGATGAGTTGCCTGGTGCGGCGTGTAGTAAACGTCGCCACTGGGGGAGACAAAGGCGGCCGGGCGGCGGTGGTGGTGGTGGTGCTGGCCGCACACCCCCCTCGTGTGCCACAGTGCCGGTAGCCTTCGTAGGCGCTGCTGCTGCTGCTGCTCGCTGCTAACAGCCCCTTGCCCCAGCAGTCTGTTACAGGCTACACGGGGGGATCTTGGTAGAGGAGGGGGAACCTCTGTCAGCCTGTGGCGGTGGTTATGGTGGCAGTGGTGGTTATGGTGATAGTGGTGTAGGTGTGGCGGCCGTGGTGGTGTTACGGTGCTTGTCATGGTTGTTGTGGTGGTCGTGGTGGTGGCAGTGGTGGTCATGGTGATGGTTATGTTAGTTTTGGTGGTTATGGTGCTGGTTGCTGGGCGGTGGTGCGTTTAATTCGCCATGGCTTTGTCTCGGCATGCGAATGTGCGCTTGGTGGTGGTGAGCGGGGAGCGTTGGTGAGTTGGGTGGGGGTGGTGGTGGTGGTGGTGAGTGAGCCCTGGTCGTGGTGGTGAGTGAACCCTGGTGGTAGTAGTGGTGAGTGGGGCGTGGTGAAGAGGGTGGACGGTGAGCGGATTGGTGAGGCTTGTGAGCGACGCCTTCAGGCTCTGCTCCTCTCTGCACCACCCTCCACCCCCCGCCCCGCTCTGCGTGGTGCAGTTGAAAACGGCGAGCATTGTGACTTCAACGTGCTGCGCAACATGCTCATCAGGTGAGTGCTGTCACGCTGTGTGTGTGTGTGCTGTCACGCTGTGTGTGTGTGCTGTCACGCTGTGTGTGCGTGCTGTCACGCTGTGTGTGTGTGCTGTCACGCTGTGTGTGTGTGCGCTGTGTGTGTGTGTGTGCGCTGTGTGTGTGTGTGTGCTGTCACGGTGTGTGTGTGTGCTGTCACGCTGTGTGTGTGTGCTGTCACGCTGTGTGTGTGTGCTGTCACGCTGTGTGTGTGTGTGTGCTGTCACGCTGTGTGTGTGTGTGTGCTGTCACGCTGTGTGTGTGTGCACGCTGTGTGTGTGTGTGTGTGCTGTCACGCTGTGTGTGTGCTGTCACGCTGTGTGTGTGTGTGCTGTCACGCTGTGTGTGTGTGTGCTGTCACGCTGTGTGTGTGTGTGCTGTCACGCTGTGTGTGTGTGTGTGTGCTGTCACGCTGTGTGTGTGCTGTGTGCTGTCACGCTGTGTGTGTGTGCTGTCACGCTGTGTGTGTGCTGTCACACTGTGTGTGTGCGCTGTCACGCTGTGTGTGTGTGTGTGCTGTCACGCTGTGTGTGCGCTGTCACGCTGTGTGTGTGCTGTCACGCTGTGTGTGTGCTGTCAAGCTGTGTGTGTGTGTGTGCGCTGTGTGTGTGTGTGTGCTGTCAAGCTGTGTGTGTGCGCTGTCACGCTGTGTGTGTGTGCGCTGTCACGCTGTGTGTGTGTGTGTGCTGTCACGCTGTGTGTGTGTGTGTGCTGTCACGCTGTGTGTGTGTGCTGTCACGCTGTGTGTGTGTGCTGTCACGCTGTGTGTGTGCTGTCACGCTGTGTGTGTGCTGTCACGCTGTGTGTGTGTGTGAGCTGTCACGCTGTGTGTGTGTGTGAGCTGTCACGCTGTGTGTGTGAGCTGTCACGCTGTGTGTGTGTGCTGTCACGGTGTGTGTGTGTGTGCTGTCACTGTGTGTGTGTGTGTGTGCTGTCACGCTGTGTGTGTGTGCTGTCACGCTGTGTGTGTGTGTGCTGTCACGCTGTGTGTGCTGTCACGCTGTGTGTGTGTGTGTGCTGTCATGCTGTGTGTGTATACTGTCACGCTGTGTGTGTGTGCTGTCACGCTGTCACGCTGTGTGTGTGTGTGCTGTCACGGTGTGTGTGTGTGCTGTCACGGTGTGTGTGTGTGCTGTCACGGTGTGTGTGTGTGCTGTCACGCTGTGTGTGTGTGCTGTCACGCTGTGTGTGTGTGCTGTCACGCTGTGTGTGTGTGTGCGCTGTTACGCTGTGTGTGTGTGTGTGTGCTGTCACGCTGTGTGTGTGTGTGCTGTCACGCTGTGTGTGTGTGCTGTCACGCTGTGTGTGTGTGTGTGCTGTCACGCTGTGTGTGTGTGTGTTGTCACGCTGTGTGTGTGTGTGCTGTCACGCTGTGTGTGTGCTGTCACGCTGTGTGTGCTGTCACGCTGTGTGTGCTGTCACGCTGTGTGTGTGTGCGCTGTCACGCTGTGTGTGTGTGCTGTCACGCTGTGTGTGTGTGTGTGCGCTGTGTGTGTGTGTGTGCGCTGTGTGTGTGTGTGTGCGCTGTGTGTGTGTGTGTGCTGTCACGCTGTGTGTGTGTGTGTGTGCTGTCACGCTGTGTGTGTGCTGTCACGCTGTGTGTGCGCTGTCACGGTGTGTGTGTGTGTGCTGTCACGCTGTGTGTGTGTGTGCTGTCACGCTGTGTGTGTGTGTGTGTGCTGTCACGCTGTGTGTGTGTGCGTGCTGTCACGCTGTGTGTGTGTGCTGTCACGCTGTGTGTGCGCTGTCATGCTGTGTGTGTGTGCTGTCACGCTGTGTGTGTGTGCTGTCACGCTGTGTGTGTGTGTGTGTGCTGTCACGCTGTGTGTGTGTGCTGTCACGCTGTGTGTGTGTGTGCTGTCACGCTGTGTGTGTGTGCTGTCACGCTGTGTGTGTGCTGTCACGCTGTGTGTGTGTGTGCTGTCATGCTGTGTGTGTGTGTGTGCTGTCACGCTGTGTGTGTGTGTGCTGTCACGGGGTGTGTGTGTGTGCTGTCACGCTGTGTGTGTGTGTGCGCGCTGTCACGCTGTGTGTGTGCTGTCATGCTGTGTGTGTGTGTGCTGTCACGGTGTGTGTGTGTGCTGTCACGTTATACTGTCACTCGCTGTGCTGTTACGACCGTGGTGAAGGTGGTAGTGGTAGTGGTAATGACGGTGGTGGTGGTGATGGTGGTGATGGTGGTGATGGTGGTGACGGTGGTGACGGTGGTGACGGTGGTGGTGGTGGTGGTGATGGTGGTGGTGATGGTGGTGATGGTGGTGACGGTGACGACGGTGGTGACGGTGATGACCGTGGTGACGGTGGTGGTGACGACGGTGGTGACGGTGGTGGTGATGGTGGTGGTGACGGTGGTGGTGATGGTGGTGGTGACCGTGTTGACCGTGTTTGACGGTGGTGACGGTGGTGACGACGGTGGTGACGACTGTGGTGACGACGGTGGTGACCGTGGTGGTGACCGTGTTTGCCGCGAGCAGGACCCACATGCAGGACCTAAAGGACGTCACCAACAACGTTCACTACGAGAATTTCCGCAGCCGGCAGCTAGCGTCGGTCGCCTGCAACGCCTCCGACAACAACAAGGGCAGAGGACAGCTCTCCAAGTGAGGGGGAGGCGGGGGGTGGTGCCGTTGTGATGCCCGATGGTGGTGACACGGTTGGTAGTGATAGTCACACCCCGATAGCCGCGCCCGTAGTGACACGGATGCCCCGGGCCTCCTTCCGCGAGCGCCAGCAGGAGCCCCATGGAGCAGATGGAGGAGGAGCGGAGGGCTCACGAGCACAAGATGAAGAAGATGGAGCTGGAGATGGAGCACGTGTTCGCGCTGAAGGTCGAGGAGAAGTTGCAGAAGCTCAGGGACTCGGAGGGCGACGTCAGTGGACGCACACACGCACACACACACGCATCACACACACACGCATCACGCACACACGCATCACACACACACGCATCACACACACACGCATCACACACACACGCGCATCACGCACACACGCACACACACGCATCACACGCACACACACGCATCACACGCACACACACACACACGCATCACACGCACACACACACACACGCATCACACACACACGCGCATCACGCACACACGCACACACACGCATCACACGCACACACACGCATCACACGCACACACACACACACGCATCACACGCACACACACACACACGCATCACGCGCACACACACACACACGCACACACGCACACGCATCACACACACGCATCACGCACACACACGCACACACACACACGCACACACACACACGCACACACACGCATCACGCACACACACACGCATCACGCACACACACGCACACACACACACGCACGCATCACGCACACACACGCACACACACACACGCACACACACGCATCACGCACACACACACGCATCACGCACACACACGCATCACGCACACACACACACGCATCACGCGCACGCACACACGCATCACGCACACACACACACGCATCACACACACACGCATCACGCACACACGCATCACGCACACACGGACACACACGCACACACACACACGCATCACACACACACACGGGCGTTATGATCGTTTGCGTTACGTTTGCTTTTCGGTTGCGTTGGCATTGCGGTTGCGTTGCAGTGGCAGTCGTTTGAACCTCCCCCACCACCACCCACCACCCCCCACCGTCTCCCACCCACCCACCCACCACCCACACCCCCCACCGTCTCCCACCCACCCACCACCACCCACACCCCCCACCGTCCCCCACCACCACCCACCACCCCCACACCCCCCACCGTCTCCCACCCACCCACCACCCACACCCCCCACCGTCTCCCACCCACCCACCCACCACCCCACACCCCCCACACCCCCCACCGTCTCCCACCCACCCACCACCCCCACACACCCCCACCGTCTCCCACCCACCCACCACCCCCACACCCCCCACCACCACCCACCACCACCCACACCCCCACCGGTCTCCCACCCACCCACACCCCCCACCGTCTCCCACCCACCACCCACACCCCCCACCGTCTCCCACCCACCACCCACACCCCCCACCGTCTCCCACCCACCACCCACACCCCCCACCGTCTCCCACCCACCCACCCACCACCCCCACCGTCTCCCACCCACCCACCACCCCCCCACCGTCTCCCACCCACCCACCACCACCCACACCCCCCACCGTCTCCCACCCACCCACCACCCCCACCCCCCACCGTCTCCCACCCACCACCGTCTCCCACCCACCACCCACACCCCCCACCGTCTCCCACCCACCACCGTCTCCCACCCACCACCCACACCCCCCACCGTCTCCCACCCACCACCGTCTCCCACCCACCACCCACACCCCCCACCATCTCCCACCCACCACCCACCCACCACCCACACACCTCCCACAGCTGCAGCGTCGTCACGAACAGATGCGTAAGAACATGGAGGCGCAGGGCCGCGAGCTGGAGGACCGCCGTCGCCACTTTGAGGAGGAGAAGGCGGCGTGGGAGAGCCAGATGCACCTCTTGGAGCAGCAGCAGCGGGCCGAGGGCACGCGGTAACCACGCCCCTGGGTGGTGGTGGGGGGGTGGTGGTGGTGGTGGTGGTGGGGGGGTGGTGGGTGGGTGGGTGGGGGGTGGTGGGTGGGGGGCACAGGTCGTGCCTTGTCCAGATCGCCATCTTCGGAAGGAACTTCTTCCTCCTCTCTTAGTCCCTGCGCTCTCACTCCTCCCCTCCCCTCCTCCCTCCTCTCCTCCTCTTTCTGTGTTTATGGTCAGAGGAAACAGGAAGATGATCGGTGTAGTCGGCACTTTGCTTCGGTATTTTTCGGTATTTTCCCTTCGCCGGAATCTGCCAGAACTCCCCCGTCCGGCAAAAGTGACGTTGTTAGCGAGATGCAGCAGCAGCAGCAGCAGCAGCGCCTATGAAGGCCGCCACACTGTGTGTGTGTGTGCCCTCTGTGTGTGTGTGTCCTCTGTGTGTGTGTGTGTGCCCTCTGTGTGTGTGTGTGCCCTCTCTGTGTGTGTGTGTGCCCTCTCTGTGTGTGTGTGTGTGTGCCCTCTCTGTGTGTGTGTGTGTGTGCCCTCTCTGTGTGTGTGTGTGTGTGCCCTGTGTGTGTGTGTGTGTGCCCTCTCTGTGTGTGTGTGTGCCCTCTCTGTGTGTGTGTGTGTGTGCCCTGTGTGTGTGTGTGTGCCCTCTCTGTGTGTGTGTGTGTGCCCTCTGTGTGTGTGTGTGTGCCCTCTGTGTGTGTGTGTGCCCTCTGTGTGTGTGTGTGTGCCCTCTGTGTGTGTGTGTGTGTGCCCTCTCTGTGTGTGTGTGTGTGTGCCCTCTCTGTGTGTGTGTGTGTGCCCTCTCTGTGTGTGTGTGTGTGTGCCCTGTGTGTGTGTGTGTGTGCCCTCTCTGTGTGTGTGTGTGTGCCCTCTGTGTGTGTGTGTGTGCCCTCTGTGTGTGTGTGTGCCCTCTGTGTGTGTGTGTGTGCCCTCTGTGTGTGTGTGTGCCCTCTGTGTGTGTGTGCCCTCTGTGTGTGTGTCCTCTCTCTGTGTGTGTGCCCTCTCTGTGTGTGTGTGCCCTCTGTGTGTGTGCCCTCTCTCTGTGTGTGTGTGTGTGTACCCTGTCTGTGTGTGTGCCCTCTGTGTGTGTGTGTGTGCCCTCTCTGTGTGTGTGTACCCTCTCTGTGTGTGTGTGTACCCTCTCTGTGTGTGTGCCCTCTGTGTGTGTGTGTGCCCTCTGTGTGTGTGTGTACCCTCTCTGTGTGTGTGTGTGCCCTCTCTGTGTGTGTGTGCCCTCTCTGTGTGTGTGTGTGCCCTCTCTGTGTGTGTGTGTGCCCTCTGTGTGTGTGTGTGTGCCCTCTGTGTGTGTGTGTGCCCTCTCTGTGTGTGTGTACCCTCTCTCTCTGTGTGTGTGTGTGCCCTCTCTGTGTGTG